CTTTACATCCCAATTGTATACATGTAACATCTATCCCAGTCATATCCCACTCGTATCACTGTGTCCTGCACCTCCAAGAACTAGGTGGTACTGACCCCCACTACCGCACTAAAATCCTGTGGATATATCATGACAGCCATAAACAACAACAGCTGTTAAAGCTACAAAACAACTTTGCTAACTCAAAAAACATCATTTTGGTAAAAACAACTAATAAAACAAAAAAGAAAACATTAATCAACTTTGCTAACTCAACAAAAACTACAAAACAACCATAAAACCTCATTTTGGTGGGTTCAACATGGGCAAAGCACCATTTTTGGCGGAATTTTACCCTGATCAACCGATCCTTGAGGGACCCCAAATCCAAGCCACGTAGAAAACTAGTTGGTGATGCCCAGCCAGGGTTGCTTCCAGCCCGGTACAAGGGGATAAACATTGATAAAGGAGTGACGTGACCAATTGTTTCAGTTTGGTGGTCATCATTCACCTAGAATGGGTACCCTCTGGTAAACTAACATTTTGCTATGGAAAGATCCACCATTTTATAGCTGGGAAAATCCACGAACTTTCTATGGCCATTTTCAATTGCAAACCGTTAAATTACCAGAGGGTAGTTGGTATACATCACTCCGCAATATTACCAACAAAAAAACGAACACATCTCGCCAATATCACCACATGAGCAAATAGACGCCTTGGATTGTCTTGGTTTCAATCCACTCAACAGTTTTGAGTCTGTCAATATCCGATTCATATCCTATTTATATCCCATTAAAACCAACTTAGCTCAGTATCGATCAACTATAAATCCCCCATTTTGGTAGGTTAACTCCCATTGACCCTTCAAATTTTGATGACTAAATCCTTCATTGATCCCACTATAAATCCCCCATTTTGCTAGGTGAAATCCCAGGTTTTCCTGCTTAAATCCCCAAGTTTCCGCATGAGAAAAAAACATCTTTGATAGCCAAGGAGATCCCATGATATACCCTCTGGTAATTTAAGATAGCAACAGGAGGAACATCATCATGTTTAATAGCTTTGAATAGTATCATCATTAGTATAATCATTAGTATAATCATTAGAACACATACTAATATATATATATATATACTAATACATAACCATCATTAACCATCATTAGGTGATGCTTGTTACAATGACACAACAATCATTAACCATCATTAGTATAATCGTATAATCAGAACTCAGAACCATCAACATTATACAATCAAATATAAGCATCATGAAACATCATTAGTATAATCATAATCATTAATAATGTACTAATACTAAGTATATATAGTATATATATATATATATATCATTAATTAATATACCATATATAGATATATAACCATATCATTAATAATATATTAATCATTTCATCTATAATGATGGGCCATGGTTTCGACCATTCCCACGCCTCGGCTGCTCTTCACAGGGACCTGATCGTCCGGCTGCAGCACGTCAGGTTTGATCTCCAATGGATCCAGCTGGCCTAGATGGACGGAAAAAAAACAACTGGATGTGGGTCAAAATGGAAGACCGATGTGGGACCACAGATGTGAATGTCTAGTGACTAGTATTAACCATCCAATTATTGGGGTACCTAATTTTGACCCATACCCAACTGGTGATTTGATGCTTCCTGGTGGTTTTTCGCCTACACCTCTGCAAAAATCATGGAGTGAGTTCGTCAGTTGGGATGATGACATTCCCTACTATGAAAAAAAAATGTGTTCCAAACCACCAATCAGCTTCATTTCAATGAGAAATGAGACTTTGAACTGATTTATATATCATAAAAAAAGTGGGGAGACATGTGGCGTTTGGAACCAAAACATTTGGTGCCAATAGAAATCATGGCGTTAAGCAGGGACGATGGTGTCAACTGAATTCGCGACTTAGGGATCCAATGGCAATTTCAATAACACACAGGGCTTCAATTCAGTTCAACCATCAACCATTGTGTTTTTGGAAACCCAGGATTTCATGAATGGCTTCAACCTAGCAACATGGAAACTTGACATATTGCATTTGGACATCGAACATCTGGATTGAAGTTAAACTTATTGGCGGTTCTATGTTGAGATTCAACGCTGAATCACGCAACAAACGGGGGGTGGGGTTCCATAATTATATTATAGGGCAGCATCCCAACTTCTAACCCAAACACCAAGGCAATACCCATAAACACAGACCTAAACGGCACTCGCAAGCATTTTGTTATCTTAATGATTTTTGCATAGATTCAAATACGCTCACAAATGCTTTAAGTGTCACTTCACAAAGAGAAAAAAGGGGTGACTGGGGGTGATTCCTGGGGTGATGTAGTTCAGCGTCCAATAATTTGTGAAACGCAAACAGCAGGGTGTTTCGTATGATAATGGCTAAACAGAGATATAGAACAGAGTTGCCAAAAGGGCATTGTAGAACTAATTCTTAAATTGTATATATATATATATATATTAGCCCCTTGATATTACATACCCCTAATATTGGACCGCCAAAATAATAGACCCAACACTAAACTTGGGGTTCGTTTGGTGCAAAAAAAAACGTCTCATGTCCCATTTTCATCCATTTTCATCATAATCCATTCCATTGTGTCATCCCACATTATCTCATGACAAGTAAGCCATATATCTCCCATCACAAGCCATCTGGGTAAATTATAATATTTCACAAATCTGAAATAAGGCCATTTGAGGATGATTTCCCTATTGTTTCCCCATCTACCATCTACTCCCCATCATTCCAGTGAGGTCGTTATAATTTACCCGGACCCATGTATGACAGTAGGAGCAGGGATTTCTGGTTGCAGCACAGTCTTCGGCTCCTCTGCCGTAGAGAACGGATTTTTGGACAAACGAAAAAATACAAGAGGCAGGTTTCACCGGAAAGAGGTTTCACATCTACGTATATATATCTATTATATTATTATATCTACATACACATGTATATATATATATATATATGTATTTGTATATATATATATATACACAAGCAATATCATTCATCTTCATGTTCATTCATATTCACCCAAGTCAATTGGCAAAATGACAAGCCCAGAATTTCCATTCCCAACTGGCAAGGCACCCAAGTTGCCTTTCAAGAACCTAAGCGGGGGCCGCTACATGATCTCCATGGAATGAATATCTCTGAATGAACTGCTAGAATCCATTACTATGCCATTCTATATATATAATTATATATATGTCTGGTTGGTGGTTTCAACCCATCTGAAAAATATGAAAGTCAGTTGGGAGGATTATTCCCAATATATGGAAAAATAAAAAATGTTCCAAACCACCAACTAGAAACTATATATGTAATTATTGGATCAACAATTGTTAATGAATGGGATCGATACTAGTGATTGATTAATAAGATTGGTACTAGTCAAGAATTGTTAATGACTAGGAATCCTCTCTTGGGGCAATCCGTTTATGATTTATGGTTCGTCTTGCAGGGGTGGTATGAGTCATATATCAATATCTCAATAGACTATAATATTCATAATTCTATTTACAGTGGTCAGATTGCATTTTCATATATCAATCCTGACCACTAAATAATTATAGTGAATATACTATATAGTGAATATCAATCTAATCTACTAGTAATATCTCAATAGTAATATATATATAATATTGACCAACCTGAAAAGTTCGGCCACTCATCTTCCCGGCTTCCCCGGTGCTGCGAAGGCTGACCGGCGACAAAAGCTTCTGCATTTTTCGGGATAGTCACTCCTTCACTGACTATCATTGCTTCGCAGGTTGTTATATTTTGTTCATATTATGTAATCATATGTATATCTATAATACACAATCATATGTATCTATCTATCTATCTATCTATCTATATATATATATATACTACACACGTATGTATATATGTATTCGGTGTAACGGAAATCCATCCAGGATGACCATCTCTGATGTCGGTCATTCACCCAAGTTTTGACGGAATCACGCACATTGTTTTCGGGTTGGTGGTTGTAAAAAAAAACACATTTCCAGAACCATTACTCATCTCAAGTCAACCAATCATCCTAAGATATCCTATGGTTGAAATAAGATACATGATACTTGAAACCCCCATTTTTCCATATCGCCATTCCAAGAAACCTGTTTTTTCAGTTTGCCAACTGTCTTTTCAGTTTGCTGATGATGTTTCCGAACCATGGTAACGTCGTGACACGCAGAAAAATCAACAGAATCGACTACTTGAGGAATTCCATCTTCTGTTCAAACCACGTCAAACTATTGTTGAACTCAACCCAGTACAAATCGTTGACTGAAACTTGAGAACCCCCCCGTTCCACAAGTTTTGGTTGCTTGTCTCTTTGATGAAACCTCCAGCATTGAAAACCTCACCATAGTCCCCATATGACATAGAAAAAAAATGACGCCCTCTCACCTAACAGTCACCAGTCACCAGTGCCAAGTTCATTTTAAAGTGTCTCCTTGAGGTGGTGAAAACCTAATTTGCTTTGTCATGTTCTTTCTATTTCTTCTCTATATCAAACCAGCTGCTTCACCCACAAAAGGCCAGAGTTTTCTGTTGGTGAAATCCCCAGACAAAGCTTGTTGCTTAACATCCAAACATGTCCGGGAAAAAAAAAACGAAGATGTTGAAGTCCCTCAGCAAGTTCCATCTGTTTAAACTACATGAAAGTGATACTTTCTTGCCAAAACCACCAACACTATCGGCTTGTGCCAACTTGGCAATGAATTGCTCCAGAAAAAACTTACAAGATGGTAACGCAGTTCGCCAGCGAAGGGGGGTTGTAACTCATACAACTAGGCCGGTTTACTGTAGATATATCAAAACTGTCTATGAAGGTTTGCAAGTTATTGAAAAACAAAAACAACCTAAGAGTCATCCATAGGTATGCATGTATATATATATATATATCCTTTATATTCCCATTTTGTTAGCTGCTATTCCCAAAAATCACTGAACACCACCACCAACCGTACCAAAAATCACTCGCCAAGGAGCTGAAAACCATGATCTTCTTGTGGCCCAGTCTCTTGCCGCAAGTTCGAGAACAGCTTCCTGGCGCACGCTGAACGAAAGGAACGGGCCCGTAGTTCGGTAGCCAAATGCCCTGGATATCCGGATGGGAAAAATGCTAGAGGAAAATATGGTTTTCGCGATATTAACATATATAGATCCAATAATTCTATATAATTCTGCTGGAAGAAATGATGAAAAACCTCTATAAACAACAGGCAAGATGAGATATCATGAGCTACTTGGATGTGCACATCCCAGCCACAAAACAACACTTTCGCTGATCACCGGTGCAAATTCCCCCTATGGGATGTCCCTTAAAAAGATTCGCGACTCTGGATGGATGTTCTTGGATGATCATCTGATTCATCACAGTTTTGTGCTATTCGTATTCCGCAGATTATAAAACCTCAATCATTCTATCCCATGACGGATCCTGCTGGTGCTGGTATATATATATGCCAACATCAAGGGGGTATTTCTTGATGGGATCCATGGAGCACCATTAATCTAGCAGCACCGTTAGGACCCGTCATGGCGTTGATTGATGGAATGGGAAAGGATTCACCAGGCCACCAGCGAAAAAGAGCGCTTATTAAGGCGCGGTCGAAGTAACATGCGGTGATGGCTGATGGACCTCCCCACTGATTCAGTGGAATTCCCCTCCTGATTCACAGTCCATGCATTTCAAACCAGAGAAAAAGTCACATATGGCTGAAATATATGTCACGAAACTGAAATGCTGTGTGCTTTTTTTAAAAGGGGTGCTTTCGTCCGAAGCACCAATTCCAGTCAATATTTTTTCTAGCCATCTTTCAGCTAAGCATGATTATTGGCGACATGGCAGGTGCTGGGTAAATTTCATCTCGACCTCACTGCGACCGAGCCAGGAAAAATCATGGTTTATGTTAGGGGAATCATCAGGTTAGTGAAATATTATAATTTACCCAGATGTATGATAGTCATAGTTACATTTGGGTGATTTTTGGATGGATATAGGTACGCTGTTATATACACTTAAATACTATGAATTATTCTCCCAGGGGTTTTACGACGCCGGCAATCCTGACCAGGTGAGAAAATCCTACAGGGTATAGGTCCGTAGCACCGAGACCAAACCATAAATTGGACATTGATAAACAATGATCAGCATGTATATATATATATACTTGATTACTTGGGCATACATATTATATAATATTATATATAATATGTATATAATATATATATATATTATATAATATATATATATAATGATCTGCCATGAACAATTTTGTTTCCAGTCATGATTAAAGGCCTAAAGAATGTGACACAGCTCCATTTTTACGTCTGGAAAGTGCCCTCCTACCCACCAACATCTCCCCCGTTTCCACCTCAGCGCATGATAATCCGGGCGTTCCTTCGTGAAAGCCATGGCGACCCATAAAATTGGAATTCCACCAGCAAAATGTGATATTTTATGATATACTGGTTGGTGGTTTTAACCATATTGAAAAATATTAGTCAATGGGAAGGATATTATCCCATATATTATGGAACATAAAAAATGTTTGAAACCACCAACCAGATGATATATGGCTATAGCCAACAAGATCGATTACTGTAGATTTAAGATTTGACAAATGGGAATCTCATTGGTTTTATGAACAACATCAATTGGGGGAGTAAAATCATCCATTTTCAATGCAGTGGGACATCAGGTGCCCTCCTTTTTACAGGATCCTGTTGGTTTTTTTGGAGATCTGATGCAGTTGAATGGCTTTGTGAAGCAACTTGCAACTGCATGGCCTCACTTGAAATACCTCATTGGCCATATCCTCTGGTAAACATACCAAAAACTATGGAGAAAATCACCATTTTCATTTTCTAGCTGTTTTTTTTTCCACTATCAATGGCCATTTTCAATAGCTTTTTGTATGTAGATCCCAGGCCGGGTAATTGGCCCTGACGGCCCTGAACACTACGACTTTCGCGTCACGTCACGTCACGTCACTGGGATCACTGGGAACATCCCAAGTAGGGTATTTGGTGATCAGAAAAACATGAAATAAAACATGAATCTGAAACGCAAAAGTACATGATAGATAACTATAATATACAAAAACAAATACAATTAAACATACAATATATATGTAATATATATTATATATAAATGTGTCTCTATATAAGGCCAAGTGATAGTAATTATAACTCACCTCATTAAATAGCTGCTATCAAAAACGGCCTTTTTTCAAATAGCGGATGTTTAACCGCATCTTTCCAGTGAGCTAAGCTGCTGTGAAGTCAAGGCCGCGGGTCTTCTGTAAGTACACCTTAAAGGCCTCGCTTGGACGGAGATTTTTTGCCGAATCATGGGGATACGCCATGGTGAGAAATGGAGGCTTTAGCGAAGTTAATCGCAGGGTGGATCTGTCCATGGCGAACTGTTAAAATAATCAGAGGGTATATATAATATAATATATAATATATAATATACAATATATAATATATTATATATGGGGGTGAACAACAACTGGAATCATAAGTGGAGGCTAGTTCAGCCCAGTTATAACTTGGACAAGCAGCCGGAACCTGGGGATATAACATGATATAACTTCTATATGATATATAATGGCGATTTAAGCCGCAAGAATAAAAATGGCTAGTGGGCTTAACGTCTCCCAGCTATCAGGGTGATCGTCCAGTTATTTCGCTGTCGTGATCACAAATAGGTGAACCACGTTAGATTCCCCTGACCGTCAATCCATTGATAAATGGGATAACTTACTTGAGGATTACCATCTGGTTATTTAACATAGCCATGGAAAATCACCATTTTTAATAGGTAAACCATCTATTTCTATGGGTCATTTTCCATGGCTATGTTAAATAACCAGAGGATTATATAGTAGAGAGATGAAATCACAAATAGGAAGGAAAACTAACTTCTGAGACCAGTACGTTTCATTAGGAAGCAAATGTCAATCCTACCCTACTCAGAAGTTTAGATTCTGATTGGAAAAGTGGGGGCGTCTTTCTGAATACGAACATATACCAACTACTTTCAATTCTTCGGTGCGAATTTCACCATATATTTCCGCACACTTCAAGTTAAACAAAAATCTATCTACTTCAGGATCACTACATCATACACATGTATTTCCAACATCTGGATCTGGAATCATCTGGATGCATTATCTTCTTGGTCGTCATCCCATTACATCCGCATTTTTCAGTCACCAGCATGTGTCTTAAGGTCAACTCTACATTGTATCCTCATACCATCATGATGATCATGTTTGTTGGTCAAATAACCAACAAAATATACCATGAATGGATACCATTTTTCTATCCTACTATCATATCCCGTTCATGATATTAATACTCTTACTATATGATTATAAGTGATGTATTTACAATAAAGGGTATGGCCAAAAAAAAGATGTGGATCGTAGTGGTGATCCGGACGTATGGAACGAGTGAGTATGTATAAGAAGTTCGATCTGGACCTACTTATATAAAAGGTATACTAAAGTGGCCTGTTTCCAGTACAACTTGTCATTTTCGGCTATGGATCAAGGGTATGGATTGGGGCCTCACATTTTGAGCCGCGGCCACATATATCTCACACATGCATGCTGCATGAGCACACAAATATGTCAATCATGCACCTAGTTGGGTACACTCTCTCCACCCCAGGACTTGTCCTGGACCCGTGGATTTCCACAAGATCTGTGTCTTCGGAACCTCGGGATACTCGGCACAAAGCTCTTCAAGAGGTGTTTGTTCCTGCGGATCAATTGGGGAAAATATGGGAAAATGACGATCTTCTTACAGACGTATTCTTACCATCAAATTGGGGAAAATGATGAATAGTTTAGTCTCAAATTTGGGGAAGTGATTATTTTCACACATGGTGAAAATGATACGGTCTGAGATTTTGGGGTGCTTGATTTGTGGGCAAACACAAATCTGGAACGAGTATGGAGAAGGGGGTGAACCCGAAAGTTCAATATCTCCGGCCCATCAATGATCAAAATGGGCAAGAATTGTGAGACCAGTTGGGGAATGGGGTTGCCCAGAATGAGGTAATATATATATATATATCTCATGGTATATCATGTCATGGTATATCCCATGTTGCTGCAATGTATTTTCTATGAAGGAAATGATGATAAGATATGATAAGACAGTGCCCTTGTTGACAAACCTCAAATCTTGAAAAGGAAGCACGAAGCGTATGACCCTGAGGTTTTCATCAAGAAAAACAGCGGCTAGTGTCAGCAACAATTCAATAAACTGGTTGTTGGCTTCAACCCACTGAAAAATAAATATTGGCCATTGGCGATCATCATCCCACATATGGTTTGAAACCACCAATGAGACAAATGAATACATCATAGGTATAGGCAAATGTCCAGACCAGGGGACACAATTAGGATTTCATCAACAAGACCCGTGGCTGAGTTTCAACAGAACTGGTGTCGTAATAGGGTTCTCATTGGATCTCATTGGAGCATCATATACCTTTTAAACAAATGGCCAAGGTCTTTGCAGCACATTCACCAACCATTCACCAAATTTGACTGAGAAACATAAAGCTTTGTTGGTCAGTGTCCCTAAACTGGGAGACTTTCAACTTTCAACATGACCTTCCGTTCCACATGGAGAAAAAAAACATTGCTTAGTAGGTGATGCGGCCGGGGGGCATGTACACATTGGTGTGGGCTCCGCAATAAATGCACCATCCCCCATTTGCATCCATTTGCGATTTATGACATTGGGTAATTATACCACTTGTACAACCCTAATTGCCGAGGATTGAATTGTGATAGCCCCCACTGGTTGATATGTGGGCTAAGTTTATAAAGCATTGCAGATCCCACAGAATACAACCCATGAGCCCATGCCGGCACTTCACTTGGGTCCTTCTTCTCCCGAATCTTTCGGTACTTCTCTTCCTGCCCAGGCGAGACTTTTTGGCAGGGCCAAAGGAGTTGCAGCAGGATGATGTTTGAAGAGTCATTAGGATGATGCTTGAGCGAGGATTTGCCAATCGCAAAATCCACCCTCCATCTCCGTTTGTTAATGTTTTCTATTTATATATAACCCGTTGGAAGAACCATGCGTGATGTTTTTTTACCCACCACTTGTCATTGTTCAATGCTCATTTTTGGTGGTTTAACCATCAGATACGGCAGACCACCACCGTCTTATTGCTTTATCGCTATGGGAACCCTTGGAACTCCAACGTTTTCCACATTTGAACTGGTGAAGAAAAACAAAAAAACGAAACACACAGAGAAACATGGTTATTGAATCTCTCATTTGGCTGATTTGGGAAGTCTATCAGCTATTTCCAAGTTTCAATTTCCTCAAGCACTCTGCACTGAAACTCACAAATGGCTGGTCAAACCAGGAACACATGTTCAGTTCATCTCAAATCAAGTTAGCAATTGAGGTACTAATTGTTAATTGTTCTATCGTTTTCCGTGATTTTCAACACATATTCAAGGATGAGACCTCTCAGGTGAAGGTTCCTGGTTGGACCTTTGAGATCTTTTCTCACAGTGTTTGGCTCTAAATTGCCAGGTTTGAGAACAAAGTTTCTAAGTGTAGTCCTTAGTTAATGCGATGGAAATTCAGATCCGGATCGTTATCTATGTTTACCAGATCCTTATTTATCATCATTTAAGTTGTTTTATTATAATTTAAAGTTATTACTGTCATATTCCCATGGATTGACATGAGTTGATCAAAATAACGGACCAAATTAACATTCACTAGCTAATCAAACTAATCAACTATCGGACATATATATATATATACAGTACATATATTATCATATATTATTCCATTATGTGGCAAAATTATCTAAATTCCATTATGGAATAGATGGTAAAATGATAAATTGTGCTGATGATTTTTCATATCCAGATCCAAATCTCTTCATCTCGCCTGTGTCTTGGCTTGAAGCCCCGACCAAGGCAAAGTGCCCCGCAGGAAGCACCTGGGATTCAGAGGGATTCATGGAGGAGTTCACCTTTTTTTTTTCGGGGAACAGGAATTTCATGGGATGTAGGTAAACATGGGGTTTGTAGTTAATTTAGAGTTGATTAAGTTTTTAAGTTGATTGTAATGGAATATCTATCGGAAAAATCTTAAATAGGGATATTAATGGAGATAGTAATGGGGATATATTTCACCAACAATATGTTAGCAATTACAAGGTGTTGCCGCAGTTGGTGTTGCCCCAGTTCGTTTGCGAAGTCAGTTTATTTCACTAGGCTACTGCGCGTAAAGATGGCATATATATATGTATACATATATATATATGTATACATATATACATATATATATGTATATATATATACATATATATATATATACATATATATATATATATACATATATATATACATATATATATATATATACATATCGAGATAGTCGGGGATATAAAACAATAAAACAATAAACAGCTGGGGGGGCACCACCTTGTACTGAATATCACAGCAATATTTTTGTGGGAACATTTTTTTGTTTTGAATCATCGTGATTCACTAACCCATTATATATATAACATATATTTTTTGATCCAGCAGCTGAGAAGATCTCGTGCCGAGTCATGCAAAGCTGAAAGCTACACTGGTTGGTAGTCGGGTAGCCTTGTGCTGCGTTCCATGCGAGCACCCAGTGTAGCCAATTCCTGGCCATAAGTCGCATGCTGTACGGCCAATAAGATGATCTGTAGGCTTCACCGCCTTGGGATCACTACAATCATCGGTGAACCATATCGCCATTGATGGATGGTCGCGCGGGCGAACAAGGAAAAAGGGGGCCTCATCAACAAGTTGACAGCCGTTCTCCAAATTGAAGGCTTAAAATCCTCAAAAGGTACAACCGGGTGTTCAAGGATTACAGCGCCCCGGTGAAGTGCAACTACGGTGGCTAGCCATAAACCTTTCAAGAACAAAACATTCCCGACGCTCACTTGTTGAAGCTCCTTGGTCGTGAGCTCCAAGATGCCCCAAAGGTATAGCGCCAGTCGGACGGGGCGTGGTCCACGTCGTTGAGAACCATCAGGATGTAGAAATTGGGCAAATCTCGCAGAACTCCACGTCTCACATGGGGTCCAAGAAGTAAGCCGCAAATGCGCTGTTGTTGGGCGGCACCGAGATTCATAGATTATGGATTTCATTAATGCTTTGAAGTCATGGAATATATGTATACCGGCAGTTTATGTTTTTTTTTGTCCCCCGCTATTCGGACGATTTAAATTTGCGCCATGTCATGCTTGCTGGGATCTTATTTTTGTGTCTTCTGTGGGGATTACCGAGGTTTAATCTGGTTTGTAGTTTCAACCAATCCATTCTTGTACAGGATCATCATCCCAACTTGAAGAAAAACCAACTATTTGCTTGTAACCTAACCCATAGGATCCATGTATGGTATATTGGTATATATACTAACATTGGGGGTGTATTGATGGTAAATGTTACCATATATGGCATACATGGATCCTATGGGTAATGATGTCACTATTCTTGTCGGCGACACAAAAGCAACTTTACTGTTGGTCATCGGAATTATTGTTACTAGAATCAGCAAATGAAGTGACATATTTATCCATAATGTGGGGTACTGCTAACACATGGTATATGGTTGGAAAGGCCAGAACACAGGGACAATTGTGGCTCATGCAGACAAGGCATGTAAGGGTTCCAAAATCAAGAATCATCATTTCTGAGTTCCTCTCCCATTCTTGCAGCTTGGGTCCTTCATAAACAAAATGGAACTACAAGCGCGTTATCCCCATTGTTCATCCCCTTTTGCACCTTGAATCCCCCTAAATCTCCGAGACTTATGAGAAACGAGGCACATCAGCATGTGGCCAATTGCCTCGGACGGCAACATCAGCGGGATGCGGCTCGAGGATCATCCCTCTTAGTGGTGAATAAGCCTGGTTAGCGAGTCACCAATTCATGGGTCTTCCCATTTACAATGGGTTATCACTATGCTTCCCAAACCTTCAAATACTAAATGGGATGATCCTCCGTATACATAATTGCATAGGATAGAGTCCAAGTGTCCAAGTACTAATCAGGATTCTGAGCCAAGTACTCACTATATATATACATAAATATATATATATAATTATATATATAATTATATATATAGGGATAGAAACAACATGCAGATCATGAATGGTGCAAATCCAGTTTGAAAAATAAATTTGTATAGAATGGTTGGTTTGATACCTCCCGACACGATTCCACATTGAATCCCATCTTTGTTGCTTTTATCCCTATCATATAGTCTTGGAAAAACCACATGTCGTATTGGTGTTGTATCCCCGTTATATCTCCCGGTTTGATGTTCAACTCATTGATATACCAGTTATAAGTTGGTTTATGATTAACCCCATGTATCTCTAGATATATCCACCATAGACCCTGGGTAGTTATAAAACAACTTAGCTATCAAAGGACTCCAGCGTGTAGCCATATTCCCATTTTGATTGGTTTTCTTGACCTCAAACCTCCCGCGCATGCTGCGGCGCCTCTAAGTCATCTCGGCGACTCTGTTCGATGCCTCAAACCACCAACATGGCCGGCGAAAAGGAGATGGTTGATACAGATATGTTTACCCTCTGGTAACTTAAAATAACTTGCAGTAACTTTGAAATGGGTAAATGATCTATACATGGGCCAATCTTCATAGCTGTGTTCAATTGCTGGTACTAGAGGGTATATGATCTACATATGCGTAAAATGTCTGGGACACATGCTGATACTTTTTACCAGGAAATGATGAGACACATCCAATCAAAACTTATCACATCATCTACAAGTGGTGGCATTGTCATCCAAGAAAATTGGAGATTTCATATGACCAGATATAATTTCAAATCAACAAGGAAATAACTAGAGTAAGTGAGTCAGTTGCCATCCATAAGCCTTCACTCAAAAGCTCCGCAGCCACTGACGCAGCAAAGCTTCGCCTCTTCATTTAATTTCGTCAAAAACAAAATATCAAGTTCCCAGGCTTCATGTGGCTTTATCGTCATTTTCCTCACTTCTGGACAAACCTCCTATGCATATATATATATAAATAGATAATCACATATTATATATATACTGTATGCCCATAAAATGGTTGGTTTTGTACCGCATATGTGTGGTTAAATCCTCAGTGGGGGAATACCCCTCGTACGAGATGAAATTTTCGATGTCTTCATGCCTCCACTTAGATACTCTGCCAGAAAAGCAGTGGCATGTTGCGTAGTGGCATAGTCATTGTATATCGAACCATGAACCAATTTCACCTACCATGAACCATCGTCATATTATCTGCTTAAATCCTGTTTGGGTCAAAATCCCACTTTTATTGATCAAGTAAGTATAAAAACACATGCTGGGTGTTGGATAGGTAGCAATTCCTTGAAATATCTAAAACACCTGCAGTTGGATTGCATTTCCAGTTTTTTGTCCAGTTCTTGCTGCAAATCCACTGAAATCCATCGCCAACAAAACCAAGCCCGGCTTATTACCTACTAATCAGGTTTATGCAGTGGATCAGGTTTTCTATATAATTCCATGGCCAATCGTAGACACCCTAATAATCATTTAAAGGTTTTATTTGTCAGCTGGTTTGGATATTTTTCTATTCAAATTTTAGGCAACAAAAACAATTAACGAAACTACAGGAGCCCCACCCCAATCGTGCTTGTTGGTTTAAATTACCCCATTGAACTAGTTCATACTAGTTCGATATATCCGTAAAATCAACACCAGTGGCCAGTGAACCTCGCGAAAATCGACATTTACATTTGTTAGTTTATAAGTCCCTCTAAACATATAGTATATTAGATATATCAAACCCAGTGTAGCTAGGTAAAGAAACCAACTCCCATCTAACATTGTCCGTAGATACTGTATATCATGATATATCCACTTGATATCCGCCAGAATTCTCAGTCTCTAGTTTTCAGTAAACCAACTTAGCTAACCTTCATCAACTATACATAATTCCCCTATATTAATTTAGTTGGTAAAGTCAACATTTCCATTGCCCGGTGCGGTCCGGTCCGGACCTCGATGGGCGTTGATGGAGGCGTAACGTGCTGTACCAGTGAGGCTGAGATTGGTCCTGGAGGGAACACACAAAAACAAAAGGAAACCTAAGGACTAGTGATAGTAGGAATCTCAGGAATAGTAGGAATGATAAGGATTCCAGTTATGATATTCCAATTCCTATGCCAAAAACCAACAAAAAAAGGAACATTACCATATGAATAGGGGTCGGATGGTGGTTTTGCCACTCAAACTATACTTACTGCACACACGGACTCACAAACAGTTAACTTACAGTAATCAAAACAATGGTGTTGTCTCTTGAATTCTCAATACTGGGTAGTAACCGCAAAAATATATAGAAATATCATAGTTATAGGGGATCATAATCCAGTTACCAAGCATTTACTAACTTTCAGGATCATCCAATTGAGGATGGTTAGAACCTCAAACATAGTTTGGAGTCCGTTCAACTTTGACCGGGTGATGTTCAGGACATTTTTTTTCTGGTGCAAACACAACAAAATCAAAGTGCATGTTGTTTTTTTCCACAAAAGGATGACATGATATTAGTTAGTACATGTTCACGTAAATCTCCTCCCATTAGCGTTCAATGAGAAAACACATGGACTTCAACAATAAAAACAGCAAACCGGGGCTATCCTGAAATTGGAGTACCAAATCCATATGATGTAAGCATTGTAGGGAAAAAATGAACAAATAAGTAAGGCAGTAAGGCTACATCAGCCATGGAGGAGTTCATGTTCAATGAGTGGTCGGGTTAGGGAAATCATTCCAAAATAGTACACGTAAAATGGAAATCATTCCATTCATGTTTGTTCTTGATATATCGTTTGTTTTTTCCATAAACCAGCAGTTCATGTATATATATATATACATATATATATATATAATACACTAAAATACCTCCCAATCAATACCTTGTTTTTTCTTTTGCATCGTGGAACATAATCCAGTCCCCTATCTGAACATCTCTACAGCAATATATGGCTGGCCCCGGGTTGGGTAATCCCAGCATCACTGTACCACCCTGGTGATCGTAAGTCCCTTCAGGATGATCTTACATATTATATACAATTTATAATATATATATATGTAAATATAAATATATGCATAGAAACATGCAGTATATTAAATATTAAATATAAATAAAAATATGTATGCATATTATGATACAACATCATATATATATATATACAAGTGTTTATATTATATCATATCATATCATATTATCTCATGATATTCATGTTACATCATATTATGATATATATTGTATTAACTATTAAATTATATTATATTAAATGAAATTATATTATATCATAATCAACATATATTAAATCAGGCTAAATTATCCAAACAATATATTAAATTATATAAAATTATATTGAATCTTAAATACACTATATTAAATAATGTTAAATTAAAACGTATTGAAATAAGTTATATTGAATTAACGTATATCATTAAATCAATACATATATATATATAAGTTTGAATAAATAATACTGTACTATATTGTGTCAAATTATATTCTATTCTATTATATTTCATTTTATTAAACAATATATTATAACACATTATATTTCATTATTTTATTGTATTTTAAACTATTCAAAGTTTAGTATGAGTTTACATAAGTTTATGTTTTATACACTTATACTATATTATGAATTATATACATTCTATATAGTGAAATATTTTATTATATTATAGTAAATCATATGAGATCAAACTATAATATTATTTATATACTATACACATCATACACGTGTGTATATATATATATATATATATACACGTATAATACATGTGTAACTTATTAACTTTCGTGAGTGAAGAATCTGCAACTTTCAGAAAAATAAGAAAAAATAAGTGTGCACAAGTGTGCCCTCAGTAGTTTATGTGTTTTGGGACACCTAATGACGCAAATCAGTGCAGTTTGCAGATCCATCAAATCAGAGGGGTGGTGGACAGATATCTGGTAAAGGGCACAACCCATCACATACAGAATACCTGTGAGGTACCTTCTCTGGTTTGGCGAGTTTCGCTGCCCTCGCCTGCACTTGTAGCTATTTTACAACAAAACTAAACACAACACAAAAAAAAAACACGATGGTATCATGATCATGTGGATGGTTTATGGTTATAGTTCCACCTAATTCATGGGTATGGTTATGGTTTCTGGTTATGGTTCCACCTAATTCAGAATGCTGAATGATTCATCAATTAAACAAAGCTGAAGCACATGGATAGGGTTCTGAAAATCAATCATCCAGGTAAGAAGGGCGTTCTTTACCCGGAATTACATTGAACAAAACAAAGTGTTCAACGTAATTCTGGCCATGGGACTTTCAACATCTCCAGGTAAGAAGGGTGTACTTTACCCGGAATTACATTGAATTAATTGATAGATAAAACTTAGTTGAAACAGTAACATCCCAGAGTGAAGTGGTCTTGCCAGAACCACTTCAGAGTGAGTTTGTCTTGGCAAGACTATCCCAGAGTAAAGTGGTCCTGCCAGGGCCAGGACCACTTGAAAGTGAATTTGGTCTTGGCAGGACCAATTCAGAATGAGTTGGTCCTGGCGGGACCGTTCCAGAGTGAAGTGGTCCTGGCAGGACCATGATGGTCTTGGCAAGGCCATACAGGTCTTGGCCAGTCTTGACAGGACCATTATTGGCAATTATAATGGTCCTGGCCGGACCACAATTGGCAATTATGGTATTGGCCGGACCATAGTTGCCAGCTGTGGTCCTGGCTGGACCATAATTGCCCCAGTTGTGGTCCTGCCAAGACTGTGGGCCGACCAAGGCCAAGACCATCATTGCCAATTGTGGTCGGACCAGGACCATAGTTGCCAGTTGTGGTCCTGGCCGGACCACAATTGGCAGTTGTGGTCCTGTCCGGACCACAACTTGACAGTTGTGGTCCGGCTAGGACCACAACTGTTGTAACATGACCAGCTCACACAAGAGAAGTGTGCACAAGTCCAAAGTAGCTCCAAAATAAGTGTGCACAGGTCTAAAACAGACCAAAAGAAGTGTGCATGACCATGCTCGTTTGTGTTTTTAACTTGTGCACACTTCTTTGGTACTTGTGGTCCTGGCCGGACCATAATTGCCAGTTGTGGTCCTGGCCGGACCATAATTGCCAGTTGTGGTCCTGGTCGGACCATAATTGCTTATTGTGATCCGGCCAGGACGACAATGGTCTTGCCAGGTTGATATTTGGAGTATTATGTATTATGTTAACTATAGAGTCTATGAGTACTATGAGCCTATAAGTTTTGAATTATGGACATATCAGGGTCAGGATGGCCATTCCAATTTCCTAGCTAGTACCTAGCTTCTTTTTTGGGGCTGCCATTGGCCATTGGGTGCTTGGCTCCAGCTTGCATGAAACTGCAGAGAATCACGTTTTCACATACAGCAGTCCCATTTGGTGACAGCCTATTTGATTGCCTTTTTTCGTGAACCAGCGCTGGGTTGGAAAATGGGTGAGGCAAGTAGCATTGCCCATGGATCGCGTTTACTGCCACCAGCACTTCCTCTATAGTTCTAGTAATATACTATACTTTTTTATCATATAATATAATAAGACAAATAATATGATATATAATATTTTCGGAATATAATATAATATAATATAATACAATTAAATATAATATATTATAATAAAATATCATTAAATATAGTATAATATAATATAATATATAAAAAAATAAAATGTAATATAGTATAATTAAATATGATATATATATATATATGTATAATACAATATAATGATAATTATAACATGATATAATCAAATATAATAAATAAAATATAATTTAATATAATAGAATAAAATATAATAAAATATAATATAATATGATATGATTTATGATACTAAAAATAATATAGTATAACATCATATAATAGAATATAATATAACATTTTGATTTAATTCAATCTGATATACTATATTTTAATATAATAGAAGAATCAATAATAAAGTAGAATAATATCAAAATATGATATTAGATAATATAGTAATATAGTAATGTAATAATATATTCCTATAATAAATATATGTAATATATGGGCTTTCTGGCATTTGCTGGCGTTCTGAACCACTGAACCTCTCGTGAGTTTCAGTGGAATTCTGGAAATTTGTTTATTTTTTTTCTACCGGAGAGGAAAGGGAAGTTCTGTGCACACTTCTGGCTTGTGGGAGATGAAAACAGAAGTATGCACACTTCTTTTGGCCAAACGGGTGGATCTCATGAAAGTTAATAGTGTAACTGGTGCCAAATAGTGAATTTTGACCAGCCGCTGACCCTTGTTCCGGGTACAACATTGCAATGCTGTTTTTTTGTTCGTTGCTATGCCCACTGCTTGTTGTAGGGCCTACACCCAATGTACAAAGTGGATTGTATAGCACCTTACAACTTCATTGAACTGGGCCAAAAAACCTTACAACTTACAGTATACAGTATACCAATGTTGTTTGCACCTGGATGGTGTCACTGTGAGAGAGGTCTGAGAGGGATGTAATGAGAACTAGGTCCAAGTTCAGACCCAAACTTTGGATTTAAATGGATTTCAGTTCTTTGTTTTGATACATGTAGAGTACATTGTAACAATTACAAACATATGGATCCATACTGGTCAACTGGTTCCTGCAAAATGGGTTTGCCTGTAAATAGGCTACCCAAAAACTCAATGCGTTGTCTTTTTAATTCCCATCATAAAAATGACCATTTTGGCACTTTCTGGGATATCCTCCGAGTGCAAGATTTGGCCTGTGCCACAGCAGCTTCTGCTCTACGGTTGCTCTGAGGTTGGTTGCCTGGAGTGAAGGTATGCAACACTGTCCTGGTGGTACACCAAGAAGCTAATAATGCTTTGGACTGAAACCCTCCTGCGTGATCCGTGTGGCCATCCGCACGGAGTCTCAGATTGCTTGCTGGAGCTCATCGGAAGCACCAGCTTTTGCACCGTAATCTTGACATCCTTTCGCTCTTCTCCACCATCCTCTGGTACTTCCAAGAACCACTCCGACGGACTGTGGTTCCAGGCAAGCTGATGCTAGCTGTTAGCTCATCAAACCAAAAGCGTGCACCATTTGGGGTTTCCATAGTCATGGGGATACCCCAATAGCTGGATGGGTTGTTTCATGGTAAATCCATCTATAAATGGATGATTTAGGCGTACCTCCATGACTTAGGAAACCTCGCTTTAGAGATATGTTTGGGCAACTTGAAGCCAGTATTGTTGAGGTTGACCATAATTCAACGGCATGAATAGTCATCAAGTTGGACAGCAAAACATCGGGCAAAAATCCTCATTATTTTTTGGTTGATACAACGATATATCCCTGAATCCCAATGTTTCTTGGTTACCCCATATTCCCATAATATCCCCATAAATATTCCCATAATATCCCCGTGATATTCCCTTCTTTGGGATAAAGCAAAAACAATCACGCAATCTCCTCATGGTAGCGTGACGCCCGTCGTAGTACCTGGCCGAAAGTCCAGGAACCAGGTCACCATAGACAAGAAACTGGGAATAGATTGGAATAGATGTGTATAATATATATATATATATAAGACAAGAAACTGGGAATAGATTGGAATAGATGTGTATAATATATATATGTTATGTATAATTGTATGCATATGATAATATGTGGCATGATATTTCACTTACTTTCAGCATCTTTAATCGATGTTTTTCGGCAACATTTGATACGACAATGACCCTCATATTGCAGTTACCTGTGAGATAGGTTGCCGCAAAATCATAGTGGAAAGAAAAGTGAGTACTTGCAATGCTCGGGTCATATGTGCTACAGTCAAGACATTGATCATGGTATACGGTGTATGGTCATCCCACCATTCTTAAGATTTGTTTGAGCTATGTATTATACATTATAAACCCCTATTGAAGGATTAAGGACCCTCCTACAATGTGGGCAATCTACCCTACATTTGACCAGGGCACCAGGGCAAATAGAATTTATTTGTAACTGGTGGATAAACATCCATGTTTGATTTCCCGTTTTTAGCAGAAAAATATTTTCATAAATGGTGTCTTGTGAGCCAAGCATATTGCCACTTTCAATGCCAAACATGGGCCGAAATGACGTTGAAGTGACGTACCAATCAACATGGGTGGTCTGATATGGATTGTTGAGCACAATCAACGCGAATCCCCCTGTTGTGCTCAACAATCCAAAAGCCGCTTTCAGTACAATCAGTTTACAAAATACCGTTTAAAGTTTAAACAATATGGTTACCTTTCACACACGGTTTGCCTTTTTTGCCATCGAACAACCATTGGCCAATGGGTAAATCCAAAATATGTGGCCACTGAAAATGACCAAAACTTACAGTCCCCTTGTGATTACAGTTGCATTCAGAGCCGTTTGGACTCATCAGTCGTCTTGTTAGATCCCATATCTAATATGTGATTTCCCTTGATATCCTCACTTCTCGGGTTGAAATGCCCACTTCTGTTGCTTTAACATCGTTCAAACAAGTGCAATTTTTTTTGGACACCGTTGTTTGGGGGTCCAGCAAAACTGGTTGGTGGTGCAACCCCTCAATTTGAAACCACCAACTTGCACGGTATAAATCCCCAAACTTCCAGTTTCCAAATTATCGACTGTTTATATACCTATCATTGGTCCGTCCCGACCGTCCAACGAGGTACCGTTTGCTAAGGCCAAAATCGATGAGGTGAATGACGTGGATGCGATTCTTCACCCCAAACCTCGGAGCCGTTTTTTTTCCAGCACAGTGTATTTGTATATGCGTATTTGTATGTCCATGTATATGTGTACATCCATATGTGTATGCCTATGAATGTATCAAACTATTTCTCTCTCTATCTATCTATCTATCTATCTATGTATCTATCTATGTATCTATCTATCTATCTATCTATCTATCTATCTATGTAACTATCTAACTATCTATGTAACTATCTATGTAACTATCTATCTATGTAAGTATCTATGTAACTATCTATCTATCTATCTACCTATCTATCTATCTATCTATCTATCTATCTACCTATATACCTATATACCTATGTATCTATCTATGTATCTATCTCTGTATCTATCTGTCTATCTATCTATCTATGTGTCTATGTATGTATCTATCTATGTATCTATCTGTCTATCTATCTATCTATCCATCTATCTATCTATCTACCTATCTATCTATCTATCTATCTGTGTCTCTATCTATGTATCTATCTATGTATCTATCGATGTATCTATCTGTCTGTCTGTCTGTCCGTCAGTCCGTCCGTCCGTCCGTCTGTCTGTGTGTCTGTTTATCTATCTATCTATCTATCTTTATTTCTGTATTTCGTCCTTTATTTTTGTATTTCCTTCTTTTGTCTTTCTCTCTTTCTTTCTTTATTTTATTTCTTTATTTCCTCATTTTATATTCTGTTTTTCTTATCTATAGTTCTTTCTTATCTACCTATCTGTCTATCTATCTATCTATCGATCCATCTATCGATCCATCTATCGATCCATCTACCGATCCATCTATCGATCCATCTGTCGATATATATCGATCTATCGATCTATCTATCTATATATATATAAATGTCTTATCTATCTTAGCTATCTTAGTTATCTTCGCTATCTTAGCTATCCTAGCTATCTTAGCTTTCTTACCTATCTTATATATATATATATATATCTTATCTATCTTATCTATCTTATTTATCTTATCTATCCTATATATCTTATCTATCTTATCTATCTTATCTATCTTATCTATTTTATCTATCTTATCTATATTATCTATCGCATCTAGTTTATCTATTTTATCTATCTTATCTATCTTATCTGATCTATCGTATCTATCGTATCTATCTGATCTATTATCTATCTTATCTATCTTATCTATCTTATCTATCTTATCTATCTTATCTATCTTGTCTATCTTTTCTATATTATCTATTTTATTTATTTTATCTATCTTATCTATCTTATCTATCTTATCTATCTAATCTATCTAATCTATCTAATCTATCTAATCTATCTTATCTATCTATCTATCTATCTTTCTATCTTTCTATCTTTCTATCTTTCTATCTTTCTATCTTTCTATCTATCTATCTATCTATCTATTTGTATGTGTATATCTATCTATATGTATGTATATATCTATCTATATGTATGTATATATCTATCTATCGTATCTGTATCACTCTTTTTTCCTCAGGGCTTCTCACAATCGTTCTTGGGTTGTCCAATCACCTCCTGTGTAAACTTTCAAAGCCACCGCAGCATGACAGCATGCCGGAAAGAGTACGATTGGGAAAGGAGACGCAACTCCTTCACAAGCTCTTCGCACTGGATGCTCTTCATGACGCATCCTGGTCGCAGCTGCTGGTCAGCTATGGCCCAATCTACCGCGGAAAATCCACCAACGTCTGCATACCACCCAATGGCTTCCACCACTGCCAGGCATGCAATGAAATGGCAGCCCTCCCTGGCTCCATGTTCGACAGCAGCTGAAAGAGCTGCAGGCCCTCCAGCTGACCGGTGCAGGCTGCCCAAGCTTGCGTTTCTGCATGTAAGTATATGTGTATGTTTGCATGTGCGTATGTCTGTTAGTATGTATTTATCTCTCTGTGTATATGTGTACATCTGTACGACTGTACGTCTGTATATATGTATGATTGAATGTATGCATGAATGTATGCATGTATGTACGCATGTATCTGTTTGCATTCGTAATTAATCACTTGCCGTTTGGGATGCATATTCCAAGTACCCCATCAAACCCCGTCATTTTTCGTGTTTTCCGTTGTTTTGGATATATAAATGTGTTTCAGCTGGAAAAACAATTCACCATTCCGAAGCAGAAATCAATCATTGGGTGAAAATCAATAATTGACATTCACTATAATTTGGTTTGGAAACCTAATTCGTAGCTCCTTGGCTCCCCTTTTTTTGGGGAGGGTTCTCGATGCCCATAGCTCCCTCCGAACCACTGAATAGTTTCAAAACAACACAGACATTTACAGTTTTTAAGGATCCAGGTCTGGTGTCTCTAGGACCACTGCCACAATCAGTATCATGATTATGGCAGCGTCATCATTGTCATCGTCGTCATCACCACCGCATTTGTTGGGTATCAAAGATAATTTTTTGGCTTGTCCCAATGTTTGGTGAATCACTTCCAATTCTTGCGGCTTTATTCTCTGCCAAGGGGTGAAAACCAGCATTTGACCCCCATGTTTTTTGGTTGAAGATCGCATCATTGTTGTTCCCTTATTCAATCACCAACATCTTTTCTGATGAGGATTCAACCGATTCAACAAGCCCCAACAGTTGCTGGCAATATTTTTCACTACGCATAAAGCTTCAGTGGTATGTCCCCTATTCGATCACTAGCATTTTCCTCACACATGTTATGCGTCATCACAAAAACGAAGTGGGATGCATCCCCATCCCATTCCACATCAACAAATCAACTGTACATCTGGTTGGTGGTTGACCTACCCCTCTGAAAAATATGACTTCGCCAGTTGGGATGATGACATTCCCAATATATGGAAAACTTAAAAATGTTCCAAACCACCAACCAGACAGGGGTTGTAGACCGGTGCTGCCAGGAACATGAAGTTCTCTGGTTTGATATCACGATGAAGAATCCCCATGGAGTGCCTCGACAGCGCCACGGACTGCGATTTGGGAAGGCAAGAGTTTCTTGGAAGGCAACAGCTTCCACATCTCACTTTTTTCGGAATGGGACGATTAATGACAAGGCACTGACACAATAGATGCCTCTATTATACATGTAAAGGAAAACAGCTATATATATATATATTATAGGTTTACAATGTTTGCAATATGTTGTAATATGTATATATATACATATATAAACATACATACCCATACAATCAATATGTGAAATCACAAACCAACTATATACTATGAAATACACATGTACTTCAGAAGCTTGATATTATCTCACCAAATCAGTCAGGCTCGCAGAAAACAAAGAAACCTCGGCACCTCGATGGAATATGTTAATTAACATCGGTAACAATACTGATGTGTCTAAAAATGGGGTAATGTCAACCCCGGATTAATAAACCCCTAGGCTGGCTAATTGGGGGGGTACCATGTAAATATCAGATTGATTATGATTATTGGGGGAGACTATACCACCAGTTTTGGTCATTTTTCATGAGATGATTTCTGTCGTGGGATCTCAAATACCTGATTTTCAAACAAGACCATATTATAATTCACTGATCTCGTTTTAGGGTCTAGATCCGTGGGGTTTACATCAGCTACCTTTTTCATCCAAAGTAAGATGTCTCAAAGCAGCCTCAGTTGAGACATGTTGAACACCGTCCAAGGTCAACAATGCCTTCCAAAAATTGCTCAGAATTGCTCGACATGACCCAAACTTGCCCGACAAAAATGCTCAAAATTGCTCGAAATGACCCAAGCTGGCCCGAAAAAACTGTTCAAAACTGCTTGAAACTGCTCAAAATTGGTCAAAATTGCTTAAAATAGTTCAAAATTGTTCAAAGTTGCTCAAATTTGCTCAAAATTGCTCAAAATTGCTGGAAATGTTCAAAATGTCTTAAAATGTCTCACAATGGGCCAACAAGTGTCTAAAGGGGTGATGTGCTTGCATATACAGGTGCGAAAGTTGTCATTACTTGGCGTTGCTGTTGCCGGTGACTATTATTGCATAGGTTTACGGTCAGTATCAATTGCGCCGAGGTCATGCCTGCTGCTACGTTCAGAACCCTCAATCATCAGTTTCAACTGACAGGGATCACTCGTCATTAGATTGGTTGCCATTGTTTCAATCAACGGCTTATCCCGAAAAAAACGCATTGCTTTGATCGGAAAAAACCGTTCATGCCCGCAGTTTCTTTTGCTTCATCAATGCCTCTTGGTGATGCCACAATCAGACATGAACTTCTGGGATTTGTTGAGATTTGAAAGGTAGTGGATCTAGACCTAACGGATCTACACCCCAAATTGCGAACAGTGAATAATGATCAAATTCCGATTGATATTCAGATAACCTGCGGGAGTACTGATGCTCTGATCAACCTTCGGAAAACAAGGCTTCTTGGAGCGATCCCCACCGACACTCTATCTGACAGAAATTATGGCATCGTCTCCCGTTTTATCTGGCATTTCATCTAGCATATCTATTCTGATTTTCCATCTGCCACAATTCTGACATTCTGTCTGACATGCTATCTGGCATATTGTCTGACATTCTAAAAAGGCATATAACTTGGAATGACATGATGTTTGATTCTACTTGTATCCAACATGTTGTCTAACACACATACATACATGAATGCATACATATATATATACATACACACCAGGTATATATCATGTCTTATGGCAGCTTGTCCCACATTCTATCTGACAAATCCTCTGACATTCCACCTCGCATGTTATCTAGCATTTTGCCTCACATTTTGTCTGACTTATATTCTGCCATTCTACCTGACATTCTATCTGACATCGTATCTGGCATATATTATGAGATTTCATCTGACATGTATCTGTCATTTCAGCTGGCACTATCATATTGTATTATATTGTTGCATATTTCCTGACATTCTTTCTGGCATTCAAACTGACGTACTTTCTGACACATTGCCTGAAATGTAATCTGGAGTTCTCTCTAGTAATTGGGTGTGGCGGGCCCCATAGGGTCTGCGAGCTGGCAATAGTGCGAGGCTGAAGAGGACGACGAGGAGAAGAGGAAGAGCAAGGTATCACAAAATCTAGAGATCCTCTCCTTGCAGGTGGGAAAAGCAGTAAAATGTATGTAACCCTGGAAAATCCGTATGACACTGCTTTTGGGCGTATCACCAAACAGAGGAACCACGTGCTGCAGAAATTGCAAGCACGGAGATGGAACCTGTCACTTGCTGCCGGCCATGCTGGCCGTAAACTGGCCAACACAGTTTGACCTGGATCACGTTTCTTGCGTTTGTGGGAAAGAATTTCCATGATGGACAATATGCTTGGAGTGATCACTGGTTTGAGGACACCCCATAACTAGAGGTTGAATCATCCTGGCTTGGCATCAAAATGGTATCCCAAACTATATAATAAGGCATTCTTCAGGGCTTATTGACCTCATTTACCCCCAATTGCAGGAGTAGATCCCCATATATTCCCATTGATTGATTTCTTCCTCGTACCTCTGCGCATCCCAGTTAGAAAGTGGTTTGCAATCCATCTAAAATATATAAACATGTAAAACCCATGGATAACTGGTCTATACTATGGATATACTATGGTTGTCAACTATTTCTTCCTTGATGCCGCAGCGCCCTGGCCCCTGGACCAAGCTGCAAATACTCGATTCGTCTCAAACATTGATCTGCAATCAACACCTCATGCTCGATGAGGAGCGAAAGGCGAAAAGCAAGTGTGCATTCATGGATGGAAACTGTTCACTCAGGCCTAGGATTTTTTTGGATTGAAGTGAGTGAGTCTGTGTGTGTGTACCTGCGCCAAAACAGTCTGAACTGTTGATTTCTGTTCCTGTTCAATGCTGTACCGTGTTTCAGTTCACATAGTTTTGAATTCTGTTGATTTGACCTTTTCGACCTTTTCGACCTCAACTCGGACTTCGAGGAGCACTCCCTTTGGAACCAGCTTCAAATCTCAAAACCAGTCCAGTGTGTGTGTGTGTGTGTCTCTGTATGTAATGTAATGTAATGTAACGTAACGTAACGTAATGCAATGTGTGTATGTCTGTATGTTTATATGTCTGTATGTGTGTATGTTTGTATATATGAATATAAATGTATGTAAATTCATGTAAATGTATGTGTCTGGATGTATGTATGTATGTATGTATGTATGTATGTATGTATGTATGTATGTATGTATGTATGTATGTATGTATGTATGTATGTATGTATGTATGTGTATGTGTATGTATATGTATGTATGTATATGTATGTATATGTATGTGCAGTAAATGTTTGTGTATGTACGTGCATGTAACGTGTATGTACGTGTATGTACGTGTATGTATGTGTATGTAAGTGTGTTTCTGCATATAGATCTGGGGAAATCATTAATATATCTGGTTGGTGGTTGAGCCACCCCTCTGAAAAATACGAGTTCGTCAATGGGAAGGATGACATCCCATATATGATGGAAAATAACAGCAATGTTCCAAACCACCAACCAGATATAGTATATGTATACTATATGTATAGTATATGTATAGTATATGTATAGTATATGTATAGTATATGTATAGTATATGTATAGTATATGTATAGTATATGTATAGTATATGTACAGTATATGTATGTATATGTATATGTATAGTATATGTATAGTATATGTATAATATATGTATAGTATATGTATAGTATATGTATAGTATATTAAAGTACCATTACAAAAAAACATTACAGTACATAACCATTAAATAACCATTACATATGTATAGTATCAATCAACAGGGAGCCATTCGGGCCAAGGTGCACAGGTTGGCACAGTGAACTTGCCACCGCAACCTGCAGCGAATGTTGCCGTTGTTCTGTTGTTTTTTTTTCAGGAGGGAAAGTCACTGGAAATAGACAACACATGCAACAAACACATGGAATCTTTTGAATATGCATGGTAAACACTATGGATAGCCACAATTCTGTCAATCTAGCCACGTTTAATTCAGTTCAAAATGCATCAAAATACCAAAGAAACTGGAGATGGGTACCACAAAAAGGCAATTTCAGCAACGGACTAGCAAACATGGGTCACCTATATAGATAATGCAATACCCTGTACCAGAGGGTGATTAGATCAGACAAGGGTCGCTCCTAGCAGCAAATATTTTTTTCATTCGCTTCATTTTGTCCATATGGTTTTCATGTATTATCATGATTATATAATTTTTGTTGATAATAAACATCTTTTTTGGTTCACCACAGACATGCTGCTGACAGCACACAGGCGAAGCACCGAAGACAAATGACTTTTCTGCAGCACTCACAATCATAGCCACGCTGACCACTGTTCTGTTTGCATATCAACGCATGGATTTGCATATTCTTGCATGTTTTGGCATGCTTTGGATTTTTTGAGATATTTTGCAATATTTTGATATTTTTTGGTGTCCCAAAATGGTTATTCCTTTTCTTATCACTTAGACCCTCAAGATTTTCCGAGATTGTTTGGGATATTTTGAGTTTTCTTTGAGATTTTTTAAGATATTTTGAAATGTATTGAGATGCTTTTTCATTTGTTTGCATTCTTTTGCATGTTAAATCTCATAACGATTTGTTTTTTCTCATGTCATGAAAGTCCTCCGATGTGATAACCCTCCGATACAGGGTATTGAAAGATCTAAGTGCTCATGGGGATTTAAGACAAATAAACCAGGAAACATGGAAATCAAATCACAAAAAAGGGATGTGAAGCAGGTTTTGACCAAAAGACATAGCAACTGGTTGGTGGGGTGGCTCAAATATGACTTCGTCAGTTGGGATGATGACATTCCCAACTGAATGGAAAGTCATAAAATTCATGTTCCAAACCACCAACCAGGCAATATATACAATAGCAATCATCGAATGACCATGCACATGTGGTGATGGTAGTGATTCGAACTTCAATGAGTTCCGAATTTCTGGAATTATGGGTGTTCCAGGGTGGAAACCCAACGTAGGTTCCTGGCAGTCCTGTACATCAAGAATCACTGAAGAACACGGATGTGCAATACATCCTTCACAGTTGACTCAGTTCCCTCTGGTAATCAAACCCGGCATTGGGAAATCCCAAGTTGTAATGGGAAGACGAGCTAGGATACTGTACTTGGTGGCTCATCCCACTTATTAAGTGGGTTATAACCCCAGTTATAAATGGGATAAGTAGGGTTAATCCACTGAAATCACTGGGGTTATAACCGACTTACGAGCCGTGGGATGAGCCACCAAGTACCCATCTGCAAACTGTGACATTTCCAAATGGCTAAAAAATAGCCCATCGCCTTGAAGCCGATCCTCCAAAGAGAAGCCCAGCATCTCCTTAGGCAGGCGATGCCCAAGATGCATGGTGACTGGTGTGTGGCTTTTTCACCATGAACAAAAACAGCCCCAAGGAATGGAAATGCTGACTTCACCAAGCAACATGATGAGATCTATCATTGATTCATGCTAGTTAAACTAAGTCAAGCTGATTTGTTTCTGGGTTCACTGGGGTCGATGTTGTGAACTTATCTCTAGATACGTGGGAATGAAATATGGAATTATAACTACCAACAAACTTGGTGAGAGGCATCACGTTGTAGGTCATCCAAACAACCCATATGTTTTTGTGTTTTTAAGGGATCCAATTTTGGGACTTGTCATCACCATGATTTACCCAGTTATACTGTGAAAAACCAACCAGGGCTCTCAACTGGAATGACATTCTATACTCCAAAAACAATCATATGAACAAATATGCCCAGTGAAATTTGGCGGAACTATGTTTCAGAAATTCTGAACGGTGGCTTTGTGTGAACAAAACGAGACCTTTCGCGGTTTCACGACCGTGGTCAAACCATTGCTGTACCGAGAGAATCGTGAGATTCTCAACCTCCGGTGAGCACCACTGAAAAAAAAACGGTGGAACTTTGCTCCTTGCCATCGCTGACCTGAGACAGCCTTCAAGATATCTTAAGCTGGTTGGTGGTCCAAATCTCCTTGAACATGTTATGTATGTTCTTTGTTTAACATAAATAAATAAATATATATATATATATCATCAGTGATCATCATCATGATCATCAAGATCATCACGATGATGATCATCATAATGATGATCATCAGCAGCAGCAGCAGCATCAACCATATTCTAAATTAATTATAAGGAAACATGCTTGAAACCATCAGCAAACATATTTCAGTTATTTCCTCTACTTTCTCATTTTTGCTGCCGGTCTCTAAGTCAGGATGACGTCTTGGAACCATGTCAACATTCATTTTGCGGAAAAAACATAAGTCCAATTTGCATTCAAACTAGGAGTCCCCGCAAAAAAAAATGTCACTATTAAGTTAGATTGCGGTTTGATGCATTCTGCAACCTCCAAAAGGGAATCTAAGTGGAGAGGCCAAGTTCAAGGCCATGGGGGATCTCCATTCCACGATGCTCCCATGGAATCCTATCGATATCTTAGGTGAATTTTGGTGGTGACGCATGCGAAATTACCAGCCAGGTTCTACCTTAGTCGTGAAACTAATGGAAAACAACATGTCATTCTGATTTGCAGTCCGGCCATACATCTTGAAAAACAAAAAACACAACAACTGCAAACGCCTGTACAAGGCTTGATGGATGCCACATAAGTGCAGTTGCCAATTGACCCAGTTGACCCCGCAAATTGTCGCGGCTTTGCCAGGCTGATAAATGGAGTCCCCCAATGAAAAACACCAGGTACACGGCAACAGCAACTGCATGCTTACCCTCTGGTAAACTAACATAACTATGGAACATCACCATTTTTAATGGGAAAACTCACTATAAATGGCCATGTTCAATAGCTACGTTAAATTACCAGCGGGTATCTCTCTATTCAACCCATGCGGTGTGGTCCCATGCCCCACAGAATCCCGCCAGGGATCCATGACAAGGCAAGAGAATCTACCTTCCACGGTGAAGGAAAAAAGCTTCGCGAATCCTGGCCGTTTTTGAGAAGAATTCATTGGCTACATCCTGACAATGTGGCGACTCCCCAAGCACTGTTGGGTCTACTATATACTTATTGGTGTATGTATATATATATAATATTATATATAATAATAATGATGATAATAATAATAATAATAAATAATAACAATAAAACCAATAAAACCAATAAAATAATAACAATAATAATAAATGAATATTGAAACAATGAATGCATATATAATAATAAACAAAATAATAGTAATTATTATTATAATAGTTTTTATAATAATTATTATTATCATTATTATTATCATTATTATAATAATTATATATATATATGTGTTTGTGTCTTATTTTTTTTGCGTACGGATGCTCGCTGCTGATAGCAAATGAAATTAATGGCACAAATGTTGAACCCCGGTCTATCCCAAAACTGTTCACTAACTCTAGGTATCAGAGCTGTAAATAATGTGGGGTCATCCAACAACAACACTTTTTAGCTGATAAGGCTAACACCTGTAAATAAATTATACAAATGAACAAAACACAAATGTTAAACAACCCCTTGGGTCTCTCCACAAAGTGGTCCCCCACTCCACAAAAATGGGCTGGTTTGTAACCCGTATGATATATCGCGCGTTACAGGTAGTCAACCTCTAGTTATTTAACATAGCCATGGAACATGGCCCATAGAAATAGATGGTTTACCTATTGAAAATGGTGATTTTCCATGGCAAACCGTTAGTCATAACCAGAGAGTAACCTACAGTTAACCAACTTAGGTAACGCCCTGGGGAGTCACCTTGTAACATCGATTGCCCTCGAGCTCTTTTTGAAGATGTCGCTATTGATAGTGGGAATGTCCCATGGGGTAAGATTACTGGAAAGGATACTGGAAAGGACTTGTAGAGATGGTGTTTCTACTTCTACGTCTATGCAACTTGGAAACAGGTTTGTTTTGAACCACTGATCTACTGACTAGGATGACCTTAAACAAAAAAAAAACCATCTGATATCTCCCCAAGGCCAATACATACTGTTGTTTGAGCCTTGAAGATCCTTCAAGTAGAAACCGTTAAATTAAATCTGAGGTCAACGACTCACAAATTAATTCTAAGTATACAAATCGGAAATACTCAGATGGACAGTTTCTGCTTAAATTATACTTGGGACGTTCCTCCAAATAGAATCCTCCCCCGACCTTTGTCAATTCTACAATTCTACAATCACCAACAACCTGCACTGGCAGTTTCGACCAATGACAACAAAAATATGCTGGTCACCCAGGATCATCTTTCATAGAATCACATGGACATGACAATCATGACAAATATCAGATAGGTATATATATATATATCCATATGTTCATATCTACCTGTAATTCTGCATAAAACTGTAAATCTGAATTTTTGATATCATATATATATATATATGTGATGCATATGCAAATGCAGGTACAAATACGGATGTATGTGTGCATCTGTGTATGTATGTATCTATGTATGCATGTAATCATGTAGGTATGTATATATATATATATATATATGTAGGTGCGTTGGTAGGTACTAGGTAGGTAGGTAGACAGGTAGACAGGTAGACAGGTAGACAGGTAGACAGGTAGACAGGTAGACAGGTAGACAGGTAGACAGGTAGACAGGTAGACAGGTAGGTAGGTAGGTAGGTAGGTAATTAGGACGGTCGGTCGGTAGCAGGGTAGGTAAGTTTAAGTAGGTAGGTAACGGTGTAAGCATGTATGCATGTATGTGTATACGTGTATATACGTGTGTACGTGTGTCTGTGTGTATGCATGTATGTTTGTATGTCTGTATGTGTGTATGTCTGTCTGTATGTATGTATGAATGTTTGTAATTTGGGGTTGCTCAAAATTATGGTTCCCCAAAACTGCCTTTACGCCGCGCTTTCGTGACCATTTCGCGTCCCGGCAGAATCGGGACAGACCATGTTTTCGCGTGCATATTTCGTATAAATAGTGGTATTCACAGACCTTTCGCGAACCTTTCGCCGCTTTCCCGGTCTTTCCCCACCGCGGCAAAAACACACGGCCATATCCGCAGATGTCACTCCCATGTATGTATATATTCGTTTTAGAACGACTCCTATGTATCCATGTATCCATGTATCCATGTATGTATGTATGTATGTATGTAAGTCTGGATATCTGTATGTCGGTATGTATGTATGTATGTATGTATGTATGTAAGTCTGGATATCTGTATGTCGGTATGTTTGTATGTCTCTATGTCCGTATATCTGTATGTCCGTAGGCACGTACTCATGTTTGTATAAGACAAACATCACAAACATATGTAATATGTTGTAATACTATGTCTACGCAAACTCTAACTTTCTAAAAGAGATATATGTCTTAGCTATCATGATTGAACTGCCAATCAGTGGTCCTACTCCCTTCCCAAATGTTCCATCGACCTTGTGGGCTAGAATTGGCCAGCAATGTGAGCACTTCCTGGCGCGACTAGTCCAACAGCAACAGAAATGACATGAGCAAACATCAAGATCCCATACTATCAATACATATTCATACTATCATAACTATCATCATCATTTTCTGTGGATACCCCCAAATTTCACTTACTGTACTCATGGTTCATCATCATTTCCCGGACTTAAATTTCCATTTGGGGGTATACCCCATTTACAGGCACACCCGAATGAAAGGTATCCACTTCACTTGCAACTTTCAGATTTTCTCATTTACAATTCACAACTCACTTGCAACTCTCAAACCTCACTTGCGACCCACCGTATTTCTCACAACTCACACAGCCTGCACACGCCTGGAATGACATGGGAAAAATGATGTGGGGTGGGGCAACAACAAGCGATGCAGAGACAAGAGTTACGAGCAATGCCGCACCCCATATGAAAGGTGACAGAAGGAGTTCAAACTCAGGAAAGAGAAGATTTAGAATCAAAAATGGTGGAACGGAAGAAGGAAACCCACTCATTCATCATCACATTTTTTTGAGGGATCACTTTCAGGATACTGAGGGTTGATGCATCAAAAAACTTGGTTGGTGGTTTGACCCCATCCAAAAATAAAAATCAAACCCAACAGCACCTCCTTGGGCCAAACATCCGATGACTACCCTAGCGAAACCCAAAATAACAGGGATTTATGGATCTTCATTCATACTCAGAAATAGTGCAATAGTGTGTATACAGTAGTTATACATATATAATTATATAATCATGCAGCAGTTTTCGACCCATCCCCATTTTTTCATTTACTATCTCCTGATACACCAACAGCCAAAGGAATCTGACAAAACAACCGCTGTTTCTCGAGGTTTCAGCTGACGTGTTTTCTTATCTTTGGCTCTCAAACACAAATCAGCATTTTTTGGTTTTTCGAAGTGGCAAACAACCATGGATTTGCCATATTTGTCTATGTTTCGATGGGAGATAGACCAACCCATGAAGTTTCTATATTTTTTTTATGTTTTAGAACAGTTTTGTTCCGTTGCCTAGCCAAGTCGCGCCTAGACCTCGACATTAGAACTTGGCTGATCTTTGACACCCATGGCCCTACACAATTCATAGCTTTTGTTTGCTAGTTCGCAAACATATATATATATATATATATTATATTATGTATTTATATATATGTATATATATATATTATGTATATATATATATTATTATATATATATATTATATTTTATATATTATATTATATATATTATATTATATATATATTATATTATGTATATTATATTATATATATTATATTATATATATTATGGTAAAAATATGTAAACATATATGGCCATATAAGTTCTGAAGTATCCCTTGGCCAACCTTTGATACACTGCAAAATAATAGACATGTAGCTTGATAAACTAACATAGACCCTGCCAAATAGAGGGTTGGAAGATAAGTTTCCACCGAAAAAAATGTATGTTAAAAGTCTACAATAATTAATTGGGGGAGAGTAGCTG